TGATTTGTCCATAACCAGTTTTTAACCTTTGCCTTAAACAAATTGAATGTCGAGCATTCTCTAATGGGTTGAGGACGACTGTTCCACAGATGGCCACCCTGGACAGAAAGGACGTTCTGCCCAAATGCTGTCCGTCTGTGGGGTATAAACAAGTCTCCTCGGATTGTAGCTCGAGTGGTCCTGTCTGAGCTTTCTTTATGCCTAATGAACTGCTTTAGTGGTGGTGGAGCAAGGGAGTGTAAGACTTTATATATTAAACTCTCTCTTTTAAGTTTCACTAAGTTATTGAAGTTCAGTAATTTATGTTTTTTTAACACATGACAGTGGTGGTGGGAAGTCGGTTTTTTGTCAAGTAGTTTTAAACAGTTTTAAGTGTTGTTGGACAAGCAAGTGACCAGGACGTCAAACAATAGTCCATATGAGAGATGATCATTGAGTAAAAATAAGTTTTTGCAACATTCATATTTAAATTATTACGTATATGATTAAAATTTCGATTATTTAATTTAAGTACCTGGTACACTTTATGTGTCCCAGGTACTTAAATACCCCTGTGTTTTGTTTGTGTGTTTGTATGAGTGGGTGGACGCAGGTTCATTGGCTGGCCACATCTGTGATCACAGGCTGTTGTTGACTCTAAAGTTATAAAGCCTGTCCTCCGAGTCACTGGCTTTCACATCTGAACCCTTTCTAGTGCCAAGATGCAGGCCCAAACCCGAAGCAGGTGTCCCTCCACTCTCTCTATATATAAATCCCATGTTTGTCTTCGTCTAGACATTACCTAGCTCTTTAAAGGGGACCTATCATATAAAACAAAGATTTTTTTCAGACGCCCTTACTGTTGACATCCAAATTAAGAGGGTAAGAAGCAGCCAGGTGCTGCTAATCAAATGCTAATCAAGTGCACCTCAGCACCAGTAAGTGTGAGCACCTATATAAAAGCAGAAGCTTTGGCAGTTTACTGTTCTGGAGAAAGTGGGTGTGTGAATACAATGCCAGACTTCCCAGGTATGGACATCCCAGCAAATTCACACCATGAAATGCCCCAAGAGCTACACCTCAGACTACAGGCCTCAATCGGCAGCTTAAATGTTAAAAATGTTAAAGTTCATGAGAGAAAAGAACTTAACAAGCATGGATTGTTTGAAGATAAAGAGAGAAATCCTCTCTGAAAAACAAAAAACAAAGCACAAGACTTCTGGAACAATGCCCTTTGACTATAATGCGCTTGGCAAACAGCATATCAGCTCTAACACCTCACACCAACTATTAAGCACGGTGGCGGAGGGGTGATGATTTGAGCTTGTTTGGCAGCCACAGGGAACCTCACAGCCATAAACTCCTCTGTGTAACAAATATGAGGCTGACAGCTAAATAGTGACTGAAATGCTGTGGCGGGACCTCAAGAGAGCGGTGCATAAACAAATACCTACAAACCTCAACGAAGTGAAGCCACGTTGTAAAAAAGATTGGTTCAAAATGTCTCCACAATAGTGTCAGAGACTGAAAGTCAGGCAGAAAACGGTGTTGTCTTGTTATTCAATCTAAAAATGGCTTTACATGCCTCTTCCTCTAAAAACACAAGGCTTTTAGACACCATTCACAAGGCTGTACATAAACATTGTATTATTAACATGATTTAACACTTAAGCCTCTTAATACCGTCCAGCAAAACAGATTATTATGAAATTTTGTTTTTCTTCATTACTGCCTATATGCACACAAACGCATCACCAAATAAACAACAACAGACAGATTTTCTACATAAAAATAAAACTATAGAAGCTGAGATTGTGACCACACTTAATAATATAGAATCTTTTGGAAAATGAATTCATCAAACTTTTTTTTGAAGACATTTAACTAGTTACCGGTACCGAAACATGACTGTATCTTTAAATCTTCATAGCTGTAGCTTTTATTGTGGACTGTTCTGTGGACAGTGAACAAGTGGGGTTTTTCCCTTGTGTAAATGGCCATTTGACAATTTTAACTGAGACGGTGACATTTCCACTCAGGGCACAGGATGATTTAGGAGGGCAACCTGAAAAAACGCTACCACTTTATCATCCTAAAAATAAATACAGGCAGTAACAGCGTTATAAAAGAAACCAGAGAGCAGCAGAACTGATAAATGATAGCTGAAATAGAGTTTTCTAACCGCTACACAAAAATAAGTGTAGATCTGGTTAAGGCAGCAATTTACTGACGTACAGTTAGATGTTTTTTGGATAATGAGGTCCGTTATACTTTCAAAACTGACATCTCCTAAGCAGTAGAAAAGCTGTCCTGGACGCCATTTCTGCCCGTTTAAGCAAAAACCTGCAGTTTGGAGTGATTTGGCAAAAAATTAGAATGGGAAGCAAGATGTCAAGCTAAAGTCATTACAGCCACTGTTAGAAGAATATGGGAAGCAGTCCTGGGATTCAGCCAAATATTATCTATTCAAAAGGAAGTGCTACTGTTGAACTGAATGTGAAATGTGCAGGTGAAACAGCCTGAATGGTAATTTACAGACAAAAACCAATCGCGAGAGAAAGAAGTTCTTAATTGGACGACAAAGAAAATGCACAGAAAATACAAAGGAAAAACAAATAGCTACTAAGATCCATGACCAGGCGGTGTTTACCGGAGGTCACAAGAGGTTACAGCTCTGACGCACAAAAGAAAAAACTGAAAAGATCCGATAATAATGAGCCGTTTCACAATCAGCTCTCAGCATTTTCAAAATGCAGATCATTTCGGTCTGCACCATACTGCCCGCATCTGAATCTACCTTGAGATGAATAAAGATGTCATAAATGTGCAAACTTCAACTTTTCTACCAAATCTGTTACTTAAAAGGCAGAAAAGATCGTATGACAGTAAAGACTGTTTTCACATGTGAAACGAACACAATGTCAGGAGATTCAAATCAGAACATTAAATAAATGTAAATGGTAAATAGACCGGTTCTATATAAAGCTTTTCGATTCCACGCTCAAAGCACTCAGGACGTAGGAGACGGTCAAAAGTAGCAGTTGCTCCTGATCACTTGAGTGTGAATGCATAGTCTACTTGAGCACTCACAGCACTTTATACAGCATGCCTCGTTCACCCATTCAAACCCCATCATACATTATCATCAGTCAACACCAGTCATTTTCTGCACCTACTATCTAATCGGCTTTAATCACCAAGGTGTCGAACCACCAACCTTCTGATTTGTGGATGACCTGCTGAAAGGGTTTAGACAATGATGCTGCCTGAGTAGAGCGTCCAAGAGACATGACACATGGCACCGGCCTGCTCACTGTCACTTCAACAGACAGTTACCTACATTATTCTCAGATAAGTACAAATGAACTTTGCACGGACTTAACTTTGGGGAACTGACCGTTTAAAAGGAAGAAGTTATTGCAAAATTACAAAAGGGTCATGCCCTATAAATACTCCCTTAAAAGCCTTAGAGGTCCTTTAGGAGATCACTTTACAAAGTTGCACAGTCTAGACTTGAAATATTCTACTATGGTCATATGCCGCAAAAGGTCATGTAATAAAATTCAGGTGCTTGAGACTACCAGTGGACAAAGAAATCCCAAGAATGAAAATTAAAGCAAAAAATTAAAGCAAACTCAAATTTGATTGGAAAAAAAGACATTTAAAAAAAAAAATCACTCACACACAATCATTCCATTTCAAATAGCATGTTTTTCTAACCTACTACAGCACACAGACAGACGCATGCATACAGTTTATACAGGCACAGTGAGTGCTATCGAAGCCATTTCTCGCCACTTACTTGATGTAATAAGGAACCTTATTCTGAGAAACTGCACGTTGCCAGGGGAGCTGTACAGATGCTGCAGACAGAGAGAGACAAAGATAAAGAGAGCAGTGAGATGAGGGGAAAGACAAAAAAAATCGGGCAACTAAAATCCAAACGCCATCTTAATAAATGCTGCACAATTCCACCAAGCAGTGTAATAATCCATTTAGTGTTTGGACCTTGACTTGAAATAATTTTTACATGTAACACTTCCATTATAACACAGTCTAGATGTATAAGGAAGACTCTCACGGAGCATGAAATTGGGGTGGGGGGGTGGGGTAAATGGATATTGTTTTCTTGGCAGAAAATCCAGAGGAGGGAGACAATGGGACATGAAAGAAAATATTTTTATTTTATTTTTTTAAATAGAGGGAGAAAAAACTGGGGGCACAAAACAAGACAAAAAACACAGACAAGCAAGGGAAATCTTAAAAATGACAAGCTGATAAAGTGTTAAAACCAGACAAATATAACTCTTGAGATGTTCTCAAAAGCAATAAGAAGCAGAAATGTTGCTTGATTTATCGCCCTCCCACTTTCCCTCCTCCTTGACACAGCTCTACACTCCGATATAAAGATGAAAAGACAGTAAGAGAAAGAGATTAGGCGAGATTGGGAGATATACGAGATGGATAGGGGACGATAAGAACGCACTACTTTATTGATCCCTCGGGGAATATTAAGCTACTAGTGTAATGAGAGCGAATGTGTGATGGAGAAGATAGTGTCATAGTGCCAGGAAGATGAAAGAAGAGACAGAGTGGTGTTTTGTCTGGGTGCAGTTGCTGAGCTCTCAGCAGCGCTTACTTTGTAAACTCGTGTCTGTTGGTGACACAGCATGCCGGCTGAGCATGCCACCTGCTCTGAATCGCACACCGTCCATTTTGTCTCCGTGTCTGACAGCCAGCAAAGCAAATCAGGTGGAACGGGGAGAACACTAATGGCTGTATGATTATAGAAAATGACGAAAGTCAGAGAGCGAGGGAGAGCGCAGGGAGCCGGAGTCTGGCTGCTCTGTTTAATGTTCACGCTTCTGCATTTGTCTTTTCTCTCCAGCTTTGTCTCTAACTCTCTATGTTCTGCTAATGACCACTCTAAAGAGGGAGGGAGAGGAAGGAGTCAGTGCAGAGCTGTAATTAAGCCTTGCATTATTCATGAGTGAAGTGGCGCGTCTGCACGCTATGTGTATGCGCGTGCACGCGTCCACTGAGCATCCGTGACGGCGAAGCATATGGCTGAGGATGAAAAGACGGGGCATGGGAGAGAAATTGGACGATGTGAAACTGTGTAACTGAGTGGAATCAAACCAAGTCACCCCAAATCTATAATTTCCTTAGAGAAGTAATAGGCTCGGTACTCACTGGAGAGGAAATGTTGGGAGGAGGGGCCAAAGTCTCTGTGGGCTTCTTGAAGGAGCTTCAGTCTGTCATCCACTGCCACCTGTATGATGACCACACACACACACACACACACACACACACACACACACACACACACACACACACACACACACACACACATAAAGAAGAGACAGTCAGCTGTGGGCTGGCAGGCTCTGCTCGCACAGACAGAACTTTACAGTGGCTAGACTTGGCGTCATGGTTGGAAAGAATTCAATTTCAGTGCAATTAAGTTACAAGTGGATTTTCTGTAAGACCCCAACTCAAGAAATTTTATTTCCAATAGAGGTATACATATACACAGTATCACGTCTTGACTCGACTCACAGGCACTTGGTGTCAATTTCAGGACATTTAGCATTGTCTGGAAATTATAAAGCAGCTTCAATTAGCTGAGCACATGTCAAACCCACAAACAGCAGGTAACTGAGTGCTTACATGCACGTGTCAGCTAATAAGTATCTACACCGGATGCAGTCAATCACAGTACGGCTGTACGCTCGCACACAATGAGCTCAAAGCCCATAGCAAATCACTGCAGTGACAATTACAGGTAACTGTGGACCAAAATAGACTTGCAGGTCACAAATCCACCATCTAGTGTAGACACATGGTGCTGGGGCCAGAGGGAAACCCATTATCCAGATTTCATGGAAGTGTGCCATGTGCATTCTCAACTTTGATGGTATATGTGACCGTAATGGGAAACAGAGAATTAATGGAAGTTTTTTTTTTAAATTGAAAAATGAAGAGAGAAACTCAACGGGGAAACACATAAGAAGCTAAATCAGGCAGCACACAAGAACACTAAGTTTCCTAAATCTCTACTTTTGAGCTAATCCCACAAAAACAACAAATGTATATCAATATGGGGCGATCAGAAACATGCTCCTGCAAAGATCAGAAACGTAACATAGCACCAGAATCACACTGTGCCTATTTGTGTGTTAACATAAAATCTTATATACTTTCAAAATCAATGCTAAAACACTGCTGTTTACTCCATGTTATTATCTCTACTACTACTTCAGCTTGCTTACAAAAAAAACACACACTCCGATATAAAGATGAAAAGACAGTAAGAGAAAGAGATTAGGCGAGATTGGGAGATATACGAGATGAATAGGGCACGATAAGAACGCACTACTTTATTGATCCCTCAGGGAATATTAAGCTACTAGTGTAATGAGAGTGAATGTGTGATGGAGAAGATAGTGTCATAGTGCCAGGAAGATGAAAGAAGAGACAGAGTGGTGTTTTGTCTGGGTGCAGTTGTAACATAGCACCAGAATCACACTGTGCCTATTTGTGTGTTAACATAAAATCTTATATACTTTCAAAATGAATGCTAAAACACTGCTGTTTACTCCATGTTATTATCTCTACTACTACTTCAGCTTGCTTACAAAAAATAAAAAAAAACTTGTGTGAAAAGCATTTAAGTTATCAATCACTCAGACTCTTACTTCCGCGCTCCTTTGAGAGCCGTGTATTGACCTCTCAGGCACTGCACCTGTGCCCTGCCGCACATGATTTGCTTTGCTCCATCATTCTGACTAGCTGGACAGTATTGGCAGCCTATAATACTGAGACTCGCACATTCACACATGAGCCTCGGGTATTAAGTCAGCCAGATCACAGAGGGATCCTGGAAATGGGTACAGAAAGACCAGTAGCTCAGTTTCTTTTTTGGCCACTTAGTGACTATTATCCTCACTCTCCCGCAGCAAGGAAGATGGTAGCTGTCTGGAAATGAAAACCAAACCATCAAACTACACAGCCAGATCTGGCTTATTAGTGAAGCTGAAGCCGTCCTGCAGACTGAAAGAAATGAAAAGAGCGGACAACAGAGAGAGACAGAATGAAACTAAGCCCTTCTCTGACTCACAATCTAAATTATAGTCATATCCCAGGCAACAAGACTGTTAGTGGGTATCTGTGCAGTGCACTGGAAAAAAAAAAAAAATATCACAGGGCTACAAATTAGCACAGCTAACCAGTTTTGCTGAGCGGGGAAGGGGGGCCACATTTCTTTTCCTGCTTAAATTCCCGAATAATGCAACCACACTGTGTGCCTCAATTATAAAGGAAGCTTCAAAAACATTGCACTAGAAAAAAAACTCTGCATCTGTCTCATGTCCACAGCTGAGCATCTAACCTGTATTCAGTTCCTCTATGTGACAAAGTGGGTGAGAACACCATTTGTCCATATTCTTAGTTAACATTCTTGTTTTGATTTAACCATATTTCATATGTAGTCTGCAATAGGCAAACATCTACTATTGTTTATGTTTTGCACTTTTACAGATTATGTACAATAACATCTTGGTTTAAATCAATTCTGACAAGTTTGTTAAGTTAACATGTTATTTATTTCAACTGTTAATTGGTGTAGTTTGAACTCACCTTACTTACCTGTGTTCCAGGAACAAAAGGAGGAAATTATAGCTTTACTTCCTGTATTTATAGCTTTATAGCTAATAGCTTATAGCTAATCTGAGGTCACAGGAAGAGACCAGGTGAAGAAGGGGGAGAATTTTAGACTGTGTTTATACAGAAATGGATTTATTGGTGCAATATGTATTGATTACACCGTAGCGATTTTATTGCTAGTAAAGAGTAGCAGTATAGGTTTGAGTATGATAATGTTCATCTTACCTACTGAATGGAATAGTCCAGGGGCGAGTGGACTATTTAAGCAGATGAATGCAGGTGTTCAGGGGGGAAAGGACCAGGTCAGTGTAGCTGTGTGCAGTTTGACCTTAATTTCCACTGATTTAAGTTCAGTTATGTTTATTTGAACTGAGTTAACTATGGAGTTGAGCTTCTTCTTCTTCTTTTTGTAAATATGGTTTGATCACAAAATGGTGAATAAATCACTCGCTACACTGGACAGCACCTGTCTCCTGCCATTCTTAGCCGCTTAGGTCAAGTCCCACCGCACTCTACCACTGCAGATCTCAAGCATCACTGGGTATCAATGCCAAGGACCCTAAATCTAAGAGACATGACAGAAAAGCTACTTTGGCATAGCAATCTAGAGATTAAAAACTGACTAACAGTGCACCTTTAAGTTTAAAAATCCCCAATTAGAATACAAAAATGACTGAAACTTGTCTAAAGGATATCAACACAACTCCAGCGCTCATGCTCAAAACCCACTCCTCTTCTATCTCCTTGTAATAACTTGTTAAGAGACTTTTTCACGACTTCTCCTCGAGGTCTGAGACATGTTCAACTCTGAGAAACACTCGTGACTGTCTAGCTGTGACTATCAAGCGTGCAGAGAGCCAAGGATGTGACCGGTGAGCTGCGAGAATAGTGGCCAGTGATGTGTAGTGACAAAGTGTCGCACTGAACATAAAGCTGCGTTCAACTAAAACAAGTAAACAGGGAGAGGGACGGCTCCAAATCCCCGTGTGTTCAGCTGACAAAGTAAAATTGGTATACAGTGAAAAAAAGCGAGGGAGACACAAAAAACAAAAACATCGAGACAGCGCAGTCGCCTTTGAAGTCATTTAGACAACTGTGACAAAATATAGAGTAAAAAATGCGCACGCGCGCACACGCACACGCACACACACACACACAAACCCTACTCCTGCTCCGAAATCTGTAGCTGTTTCAGGGGGATTTAAAGTACCTGCAAAAGTTTCCACCTCATGTTGAGCTGGTCCAGCTGTCTCGAGGCTGTGGATGACAGCTGAATGTCCAATGGTGTCAGCTCAGCAGAAAGCTCATTGACAATTCGAACGTCCTGACGCAACGGGGCAATCTCCTCTCTGAAGGCCTGGAAAAAAGATGATAGCGTATTTGTATTATAGTTGTGAGATTAGCCTAAAATAAATATGCTTTAGTCCAAACTGCTGACTGCTGTTTGTTTATCCCTTTCTTGTTTGACCACCTAAAATCTAACAGGAGATGAAGTTTGCAGCTTCAGCTTTAAAATTTGCATTTAAAAAGTCTCCTCCGTGTACTGTCCTACCCGTCTCCCATATTAGAGACAAGTGCTGCTCTAGTTGCAATCTAATCTATCAATAGACCATTTAATCTAAAGTGGATCGCTAAATGACACGGATATAAAGAAATACGAGTGCCTGGACTGGCTGTACCTCAGGTGATTAAGATCTGAGGTGCAGCAGAGAGAGAAATAAGTGCAACAGCTGAATTTCCTCATGCAGGCTGTGAATCGTGACTTGGCTATTTTCAGTGCCCTTTTGTCCTCCGCTTCTCGACTCTTTCATTTGTTGTTTACAGTTTACAAGAAGATGCTCTCATTTTTCTTGCTTGTTAAATTAAATTTGTTGCTTGTTTCTCGGCCGGTTCTCCTTGGCAAAACTAGACATCCTCAAATATGATGTGTAAACAAACAAGACTATACTGAATATATCCTCAAATGAAGTAGCACTTTCTTTAAAAAAACACACACACAAAAAGTAAATAAAGAACCAGGGAAACCATGTGAAGCATCAAACATTTCTTCTTCTTTTTTTAAATCAGGATTTTCAAAGATTTTATAACAGAAAACAACAAGATTTGTTAAACAGCACTCAAACTGAGCATATCTGACAGTATAAGAGGGATGGTTATGGTGCATTAGCAAAAATCTGACCCTCTGACTCACCGTGGTTCTATCGATGTGATCCTGCAGAGAGTCGATCAACAGATCGCCCACAGGCTGCCAGGTAGCTTTGGCCTCCTCTGCCCGAGTCAGCCGCAGGTCAAGCTGGTCCATGGAGCTCTGCAGCTCCTGGAGTCGCTCCAAGGCTCGCTCCACCTGACTCTGCCAACCGCCCACGTGCCCTTTCAGACGCTCCCACCGCTCCCTCACTTCACCAGATTGCTTTCGGATAGCCCGGGCCAACCCTCGGGCCTTCTCCTCTGGTGTGAGATCTGAAAGATAAAAAAAAAAGAAAATGCGGGAAATAAAGAAGCACGCCATTTTGTGGAGAAATGCTCATGGCCTTCATTATTATTTCATATTTTGTTCAGTTATTTCTTCACAATATGGTAATGAAAGGCATTTATTTCAAGACTACTTCTATAAAATGGAAGAAATGATAGAAATGCATTTGTAATGTGTTCAAATCCTTGCACTGAACCGGATCTTTTCTTTTATTTCACAGTCCTTGACTTCTTTCCAGCGCTGCAAACAGGCTCCCCCACACTGCTTTACTTGCAAAAATACACATGCTCGTGACGTTTCAGTGCTAGAGCTTCCTAAAAACAACCTTTACCATCTTCAACATTTAATTATTGTTCTCTAAATACGTACTTCTACAACAAAAACACCGAAGAGACCTGTATAAATTTTTATTAAAGTCTCTTCTTTTCTCTTCCTAACATGATGTGGCAGAAGATTCTGAAGAACTATGAGCCATTTATCTGCAAATTTTACTATAATTATACAGCTGAATAAGCCCTTTGTGATCATTTTTTCTTTTATTGCACATTCCTTCAGTAGTTGCACATCTTTCATGTCTAAGTCTGACCCTTCTATGACTCATCTGCAAACCTGACACCCATCGACAAATCAAGCTCCAGGACAATATAAACCCCAGCCCTTCGATCCTCTTTCTGACTTTGTACTGCCTGGTAGAAAAACTACAGTCTTGTCAGAACTGATATGTAGAATTTTCTGACCCTTAGAACTAATTCTTTTGTCCCTTTGTGTCTCAGGTCTACTAACTTCTTTCCAGTAACAACCTGAACTAATCCAAACTGCACACACGCCTCTTCTCCATCACTCTCGCCAGCCTTGACCTGCTCTCTGACACACTATCTGCCAAATTCAGCTGCATTCAAGTCACAAATACGACCTGCTGAACTATTCACTGTTGTCCCTGAATTCAGCTTTTGAGTCCTCACTTCTTCAGTTAAAGCTTTGATCCCATACTAGGTAAATGAGCGACACTCAACACGAGGAGAATGGAGGAGCAAAGGAGAACAGGAGGGCAGAAAAATAAGAAAAGAAGGTAGGACGCTGAAGCTTTAACTAAAGTCAAGGCTTGATCAAAGAGAAAGACAGGAAAAAAATGAGAGAGACTGAGGGTCTAAGAAATGACAGAAGTCTAAGAAGTCAGAAGGTGAGAAGACATGACGACTGTGGCATATCTGAGGATGCGGTTAGAGAAGAGGGGGGAATAAAAAAATTTTTTTAAAAAGAGCAGGTATAGGAGAAAACTGCTCCCCAGATAATCATTTTAACTGCAAAAAAGATGAGCAGCTCTCAGGAGTTCTTAGGTCTTATCTCCAGGGTAGTCACTGAATTACCATCTTCACCTGTTGCACCTCTGCAATCTCGCTTTTTCTCATCTTGCTCCCGGCATACAAAAACGCCTGACACTGCAGGAAGCCTCATGTCATTGCTGATACTGATGGTGTCTGTAGTTTATAAAGAAGAATGATGTACACAGGCAAAGTAATGTAAGCTCGTTTGATTGTCTTTACAAAGCATTACTATACTAATACACTATCAGAGTGTTACTCTGACACATTCAATATCCTCTCATTACACCACAAGCACAGCTTCTGATCTTAAATTAGCTCGTTTTAAAAAAAATCTATTTACTGTACACAATGAGATGACACTTTGATGTCTGCATCAAAGACCACAGACAACAAGCCTATCCGTCTGCGCTCTGAAGTCTCGCCACACCCCTACACATTCCCTTGGGTCGGTTTAATTATTTACACAGTAGGGGTTTAGTTAGAAGGGAAATATGCTGACCTAACGAAGACTTCCCTGCTGCACCCAAAAAGAGACAGAGAGGGAATACTGAATGAGTTGGTGTATTTGTAAGCCCAGCTCCTTGTCTATTTATACCAACTTCAACAGAGGTAACAGCTTGAATGATTTTAACCTCAGAAGTGAGGCAAATAAGACCTTAGATTCTGGTTCTTCAAACTGGCTGAAAAGCAGACATTCTTGTGATTGATGACAGGTTAAGGTACCCAAAACAAAACCCTTGTGGAGCAGAAAAGAAGAAGTTTCTTCTGGCAGTTCTCCCATTTACATCAGGTTATCACAGTGGATGGATCCATATATTTGATTTTGCACAGATTTGAATGCTGCCCTTCCAGACACCCGCACCACCAGGTATCTTAAATCCAACTAAAAACCTTTAGCAAATGACTTTGTAGGATGCAAGCTGCAACCTTTTCCAGCTCCTTTTGTTATATTGTGGCTCGCGTTCGGGGGCACCACAGCACGTCATCTGCAACCACCTCACCCTCTCTTTTGCATCACATCAACCCTCTGCATGTCCTCCATCACTACCTTCTCTAGAACTTTCTCTGAGGTCTTTCTCATCCTTACCGCCAGCTCCATATTTCACATCCTTTGTCCAGTGTATGCACTATCCCCCCGTTACACATGTCCAAACCATCTCCTCTTGCTTTGCTTACACTGTCTCCAAAATGCTTAGCTGGCACTGTCCCACTGACATACTGTGACACTAAATCTGTCCCTCCAGGTCACTCCCAAACATCTTCATCTTCATCCACCTCCTCTCTTTGAGTCAGACCTACCATCTCCAAACCATACATCATAGAGGGTTTTCACAACAGTGTTAACAACCTTCCTTTTCAGTGCTGCTGCTATCCTTCTGTCACTATGCCTGAAAAATGAAGACAAGGTATAGGTGCAAAAAACTAGAGTTCTTTCAGGGGCCAAAGGTCCAACTTTACAACAGAAGCAAACATGGAAACTGCTTCAACAAAGACATTTTTGTGTACCTAATGTATATATGGGTGATCTTTTTTGATAACTCAACAGCCTAAATTGCATTCAATTTAGTGGTGTGGCAGTATTAATTGTGGATGGCTTCAAAACAGGGCTTTACAAAGCAATTTTGTCTTTTTAAGTGTTTACAGTCTGCAGTTTATTACCACGGGCTGCGTCCAAAATCAATGCATTGTTGTTACCCATCTACTATTGTCATACAGTACAATTTTAGAGTGGGAAATTATGTTTCTACAAGATTCTGGCCATGTAAGGGTAGGGCTGTTCGATATAACGATATATATCGGATGACGATATAAAAACGTCTATCGTTTCCTATTACGCTATCATTTGTTTCATGGTGTCGTAAAATAAACTGTTTACGGCAATATTTTTTCATCGTTTTGATGGTCACTGTAGAGGATATATTAATGTATTAAAGTTCTCTCTTTCTCTCATATTTAATATGATCACACTATGGACGGACAAGCGCCTGTTTTTACGTGTTGTCGTTAGCAACAATGACGGTAAAACCATCGCGTGGCTCCGCTGTCCGCTTGTTTGTTTTCCACGTAAACCTTTCACAATAAAGCTCAAGATCCTGTTGAGACTTTTCAAAATAAACTGAATCAAGTGAAAGAGTATGCAGAGAAGCAAAAAAAAGAGCCGTCAGGTGCTAAAAAAATAAACCTTAGACTCAAACTTTGAAAGAAAATGGTGGCCGTTACAACTTGTGTCTAAAAATGTATAGTTTCATGCATTGGTTAAAACACTCGAATCCAGGTAAAGGACGCTGAGATGGAAAAACTAAACGCAAGTCGAGTTGCCCGAGATTCACAGAATTTACAGAAAATATTACATTTTTGTGATTTATATCATTGTCAGGACGATGAGATTTTTGTCATATCGCACAAGGGAAAAAAATGATATGTGAATTACAAAAATAGGCGATTAGTGATTTAAAATCTGTTGAAAACAGACTAGACTAACTAGAGACAGAGAACTGTGAGTTTCTAATAGTTTTTCATTACGTCATTATCTCCAGATACTTACTATACCTAAAAGATAAAACTGCCTAAGCCTCATTATGAGCTCTGATTTTACCACAATTTACTCAGGAGGTGGAAAAAACTGCATGGCATGGCTTTAATGGACTCGGTAGTGGTGTGCCGTATTTTTAAGCTGCAATTATCTTTTCAAACCTGTTTCCAGGACTGAAAGTTTATATATTCTGTTAGAGATATTTATTTTTCTAATGAAAAGGAACAAACCAGTCTTTGGCTGCAGGTTCTTGCGTGGCTCTCCAGGACCCTCAATGGGCTGATCAGCAAGAAACGTCCTCGCCTGGTCCAAAGTGCTGATTACCAAGTGCTCGCGCTCCTTCAGTTCTGACCGTAGCGCCTGCGGGAAAAGCACAGAGCAATGGCTTAGAGGGGACTTGATGTATATAAAAATGTTACTAATATCAACCACAAATTTTTTGTAACTTTGTTATGATCTATATATTAAAAAAAGAGTTTGAGTTTAATTTTCAAACAGTTCTTGCAGGTCCTAGTTTTTGAAATAATATACATACTAATCAACCAGTTCTTAGAGTTCTTGTGATTAAAACACTCACATCAGCCCAATGAACAAACGCAGATGTTTACGTTCTGCCTATCGGCAAGATAACCAACACATTCAATGGCTAATTAGGTGATTGCAGCACAACAAAACAGTTTCCCTGCTCAGTCTTTGCCTATTAAGAAGGAATCAAGAGGTAAGAGAGAGAGTGTGAGAGAGAGGCTATGTAAGGAGTGTCAGCGGTATTGAAAGCTCTGAGAACAGAGCAGAGATTGAAGTGCGAGTACTGGGTCAAACTGGGCTTCTCCTCTGGGTCTGTGTGAAATTAGCTGAGCAAGGCACAGAATAAAGCGAGTCACTGTAACCCTGCAGGAATAATCATTATAGAGCTTGCTAGTAACACCACACATCCTGCACATCCTCTCACAGCGCCGCTCATATTGAAATAAGCATAGTGCACCACACACTCCAGGCTCTAGTTCATGAAGTTCATGAAGCAATCTGACAAATGCTCTTAACCTTATGTCAAGAGTTCTGCCTCAGCAGAGTGCACGGCAGGCGATGGAACTACATAAAGGGGGTGAGATCGGTATGTAACGGCATAATTGTTCTTGTCTGAATATACATGTGACACCCCAAAGAACTTCATTGCCTATCGGAGTGTGTGATTGCTTTGTGAAGAGGCGATGTAGTTGAAGACACTGTGAAGCTGGTTGACCCGCTCTGATAAAGTCTCACACTTATCAGACTGATCAAACAGTCGACTGCAGCAAAAATGAGATGCAAAAGATTGACGACAAGATGCAGGCTTGGGTGCAATCGTATTACCGGCAACATTTGAAGACGTAAGACAAGAACAATAAGAATCGCCTAGAAGAGAAACTATCCAATCCATATGTATGAGAACACCCCACCACTCCAGCAGCTTACATCCATATACAGACATACCTGAACTCGCACCTTCTGTGTGACCTTCATTATACAATGTCATCACAATCTAATTTCATCCTTTTAGACATTTGTGTGAAGATTTGCCATAATTAGCCTATAATTTCCTGAGTGACCTTAACCCTCTCACCACTTCTTTCAATTCTATTTCACAGTTCACACACGGCTGCTGTGGAAGCATTTAAAAATAAAAAATTAAAATTCTGGAAGTAAGTTCTTGTAAAAGTTGGATTTAGACCAATGCAATGACAATTTCACACAGCCTCCTGCAGACAAATGTACTCTCACCCTGAAATGAAGCATCCTGCTGAACACAAATTAGATCATCCCTGCTAATAAATGGTTTGCTTCGTTCCAATGATTTCCTCCCCGTTCACACAGAGGAAGCATAATAGGCAGGTAGCGCAGAGAGGGGACCTTGAGAGATAGAACGTAAATGAGAGGGGCTTGAGGAAGAGGGAAAGGGGTGTGAGCAGAGATAAGAAAAAGAGGATGAGGAGCTGAGCAGTGAGGACAACTCCCAGTTGATACCAGCGCCTTAAGTTTTCCATATATTTGTTTTTGTTTTTGCTGTCAGATGTAGAGTGGTGGTTTAAATTAGGAAATGAAATGAGGGTAAAGAGGCTGTTTATTTTCAAAGTTTGTTGCATGTTACTCGGAGTGACGCCAGTAAAATATTCCGATGTCAGTTTTGTAATGTGTTAATCACAGATAACAGCTCAGGTCGATGAACAGCATCCTGGTGGAAACAAATTGCACCTGGTTGAATAATTCAGGGAAGTCTGATTACAGCCAGATGTAGAAGGAACCAACATATATACAGCATCAAAGCAGCAAATGGCTTGTCTATAGATATGTGAAGTTTGACTTCATGTATTACACTTTTAACATCTCCAAAGATCCGTCAGCAAATATTTGCAAGTCTGATAAACCCATGTTATTCACAATAGAAGACAGAAAACAAATACTTAACCTCAGAAAATTAAGAAATATCCACTCATTTTGAAAGTGATGGAAGCAACATCAAAAAAAAAGTTGGAACAGTGACACGTTTATTCAATTCAACAGTTGCCTCAAGTCGCTTTATGTTGTAAGGTAAAGACCATACAATGACAGAGAAAATGAAGAAAGCTTCAACAGGGTCTGCCAACAGTCTGAGAGCAAAACGTTTTACTGGGGCGATACTGTGAGATGAATGTTGTCCAATTCTTGGCCGATACAGGATTCTAGCTGCTCTACAGTCCCGGGCCTTCTTTGTCTTATTTTTGCATTTCATGATGTGCCAAATGTTTTCAGTTGGTGAAAGGTCAGGACAGGCAGGCAGGCACTGTCCCTTGTGCACAGAGATTTCTCTAAATTCTCTGAATCATTAAATATTAGGCCGTATAGATGATGAGGTATTCAAAGTGTTCTTTATTTTATGTTGAACATCATTACTCTGAAATTTGCAGGGGTTTTTTTTGCAGATTGCTGAGCCTCTGCCGATCTTTACTTCTGAGGAGCTCTGCCTCTCTAAGATGCTCTTTTTATACCCAATCATTTTATTTTGATGACAATTAACCCAATTAGTTGCAAAATGTCCCTGCATCCATTTCTTTATAGAACATTTACTTTTCTAGCCTTCGGTAACTCCCAGTCCCAACTTTTTTGAGACATGTTGCAAGCCATCAATTTCAAAATGAGAATAAATTCAAATACAAGCTGAAAAAAAAAAAAACTGTTGATAAAGATCATGTGGCTCAAAAGCTCAAGAACAGCCTGCAGTAAGGCCACTGTGGTCAAAAGTGAACTCTGCGTCTCAGACGTATTTACTATAATAATACCCATATTAATAATCATGTCACACAGGCATAGTTTGAGTAATAAAAAAAATCCCTGTCAGTTACAATAAATGTAATATTATCTTCTAATGTAAACTGGCTCCAAAGAAATGAGCCACAGAAGGCTCTAATATCTGCAACGTGAGCAGCGCCAAGTAATCCTCTTTGTTAGATACAGCCTCGCCGTCTGTTATCCAGCCACTGGGTATCCTTACAGTTCAGGCAGGTGACAGCACAAAACACTTTCACCCAACACTCAACCAAATCTTTTTAGTGAAACCTCAGCACGCGCACATTATCAGAGTTTCACACAGGGACACACTTTTCACGCTTTTTTGAAAGGCGGATATCAAACACATACGCCGCTTTTAAGTTAACAAAAAAAAGCTCTTTTTTTCTCTTTTTCCCCAAGCAAATCCCAGACAGCCTTTGAGTGATGAGACATAGACATCTAAGTCAAAGATAAAACAGGACAGGTCTTCTCTTTGCTCTTTTTCAACAATTTCCAAGCTCTGGCACATCAGAATATGAGCTGTGATTTATGGAGACTAGAGCAAGAGGGGACTCTTGTCACTTTCACAATGCTTCTGGCATCTACCTTGAAGCTACGAGTGACCGTGACCTTGGCTGTGAGTGTGTGATTATGTCTGTGGGCAAGTGCTTGTGCCCAGGTCTGTGTAAGAGTGTAGTTTGTGGCTGTAGCAGCACAGCAGACTCTTATCACTAAGTGCCCTGTGCTGTGGCGCCAATGAGATAACATCACAACACAGCTTCTTTCAGAGCTCTGCCAAACATCCCTCTTCCTGCTCTCAAAACCCTGCTATCTCGTCCACAATATTACCGTAGCCCTCATCTTCTAGAAGAAATAAGCCTCCCAAAAAGGACTGATACAATATACCATCTCTCAACATAAGAGAGGCACAAGGCAGGAATTTTCAGGCGCCTTTGCAATAAGGGTTCAATCACACTGCGGGAGAAGGGGGAGAAAGTCACAATACTGATGACTTCTTATTTTTCTCTAGCAAAAACTATTTTTAGTTGAGGCCAGAATTTGAACTTGTGTCGTCTGGGCCAAATTAGATTTTACAGTTGCATACAGTTGCACAGTTCATAAAGGAGCCACAGAGTGATTCAACTGGAAAAAAAAATGAATTGCTCCTTTGCCCTCCCAACATTTGCTGTTATCTCAGAATAGCTGAAAGCTAGTGATAGCTGCTAGTAGTTTGAAAACAAATGCTCCACTTAACTAATGCATCCAACCTTGGCCATTGTTAATTTAGTAACAATACCCACAGGCTGTGAAATGCCTGTGGATGTACAAGAAACCTATATGTGACAAATTCGCAGTTGCCGAAATAAAAATATAAATTTTTTCCATGTAAAACATATGTATATTTTACATTGTTGTGTTAGTGCAACTGCAATAATTTACAAGTTTGAGGTCAATTTAGAACCTTTATATTTTTTGAATCGTCGCTGCATCACTCTTTAGCATAGTTTTGCAGTACTTAATGAGGTTTGCTGTCACCGATAATTATAACTGCTAACAGCAGCATTGTTCATATACTTCTTTGC